AGGCCCAGCTGAGGGCTCCATGGCCGGGAAAGGCCTCAAGCCTCACTGGGCATCTTGCTTCCACCCTGCCGTTTGCTCTATTCTGAACTAAGACACTGGAGTGGTTCTGTTGTATGGAAGTCACGTCCTGCTCAAAACCCCCTGATGGCTGCCACCTCAATCAGAATTTAAGCCAGAGTTCTCTCAGGGCTCAAAGGCTCCCATGGCCTTGTTCCCAACCGCTTTCTCCACCCTTCTCCCCTGCAGGGCCTTGAATGTGCCAAGATTCTCTTGGCTGGGCGCCTTGGTGTATTCTGTTCCCAGGCCCAGAATGCTGTTCCCCAGCATCCCACAGTTCAGTCTCCCACTTCCTTCAGATCTGATGCATCGACGTGTCACCTTCTCAGGGATGCCTTCTCTGACCAGTCTCTCTTTCAACATCTTTCCCCAGCTCTTCCTGTCCCCTCTCTGTGCCTTTCCCCCAGCACTTACCACTGTCTAAACACACTTTACCCAATTACCTTGTTTCTTTTCTTTTTCTTCTCTTCCCATTTAGATTATCAGCTCCGTGAAAGCAGAGGGTTTTGTCTGTTTTGTTCACCCTTGAATCCCCAATACCTAAAAAACTGCTTGGGTGAAAGAATGGATGGGTGGATGGATGGGATGGGTGGGTTGATGGGTGGATGGATGGATGGATGGACAGATGGATGGATAGTTGGATGGATGGATGCATACATGAATACTTAGTAAAAAGTCGTCATCTTCAACCTAAGGAACAATGGGAAGTCGCTGAAGTTTTTCCCATGGGAGAGAAACATGATCAAGCTCGGCTTCCAGAAGTTACCTGTTGTGGGAATTATCTACTATCCTGGAGCCATAAGAAATTGGCCACCGTGAGGCCTGTTAGAAAGGTATTGCAGTCGCAGAAGCCGCCTGAAGTGCTGTGTGGGGAGTGCAAAGCGGAGGGTGGTACAGAGAATCCACAGACCTCTCCCCGGACCTGCGGGCAGGGCACCTAGAAGAGGAAGACATCCAAGATGCCCTAGACAGTCCAGCCAGAGCAACTGAGAGAACGGAGGTGGGGAAATGAGCTCCGACACCAGAAGGTGCAGCTGCCAGGGGAGCACGGCGCTGTGGTTCCCTGGAACCAGCCTGGAATCTGCCGTTGATAGACCAGGGTGAGTCCTGGCTCCCCTAAATAAACTGTGCCCTTCTCAACCTCAGTATCACGACAGGTGAAGTAGGAAACAGAGACCCGGCTCACACACGACCACCCCCGGTAGTGTTTCAGGCGCCCTGCTCAGCGCTCTGCCAGCATCACATTGTTCGATCCCGCTCCACCGCTGAATTGGATATTAACCAGGGTTACAAGCTGAGGACAGGAACACTCCCCTCGGTTAATACCATCGATCAGACTGGGAAAACGGTAAAGATGAATAAGCGTGAGGTCCTAGGTCTCTCCATTGTACAGTAACCGAGGTTGGAGGAACAAAGCTCCACGTCAGAGGCAGCAAGGGCTCCAAATACGAAGCAACAGTAAAACAATTCCATTATCTCAGAAGCTAAAAAGCTAAGCCCTGAGTTTCATTAGCGTTCAAGATGAAGGCTCTTTAAACGGGTACCTTTTATCTCAGTCAGGTATGTCCTCCCCCGCCCCGCCCTCCGGGCCCCCCCCCACCCCCCCATCTTTTGTGAATTGCCCCGTTCTTTGCTCTGCTTCGGTTTGCACATCAAGGTCCACACTCAGTTTCCCTTTCTGGTCGTTTTGTAGAACCGTTTCCCTGGTGGTGGCACATTCTTGGCAGAGGTGCAAACTCCTTGGGGTTTATAAGGACGCGCTGAGGTCATCCTAACTCTGCTCCGGGAATGCTGTAATGGAAATGGTGGAATTCACCCTAAACCTCAGTTTTTCCTCCCTGAAAATAGAAAACTTCTTAGTGAAAATATGCTCTTACTGCAAGTTAGATGAATTGAGGATTTTTATGGCACGAATGGAAGAAATGCAAAACATCTAAAGCTTTCAGTTGACTAAAGCATTTCATTTCTTCTTCAACTTCTGGTGTCAGTTTTACTAATTTGGTATGCTTCTCAAGAGCTCTAATGAGACATTAGGCACCGCTGTCTTCAAATCACTTCTGTCCGACTAGCAAACAAGAATCAGGAATGCACTTGTCTCCCAAATGACAAAGGATACACATGTAGGAACGTCTACTTTTTTTTAATCCTTGTTTTGGAACAATTTTTATCCTCCATGAGGACAGGCACTGTTTACAATGTAATGCTTTTGCATAGGACATTTAGAAATCCAAGTTCCCATATAATAGACACGCAGCTAAAGAGCGGACATTCCTAAAAAAAAAATTTTTTTTTAATGTTTATTCTTGAGAGAGAGAGAGAGAGCATGGGGAGGGGCAGAGAGAGAGGGAAAAACAGAATCTGAACTAGGATCCGGCTCTGAGCTGTCAGCACAGAGCCGGACGCAGGGCTCGAACTCACGAACCGGAAGATCATGACCTGAGCCGAAGTTGGACGCTTAATCGACTGAGCCACCCAGTTGCCCTGAAGAGTGGGCATTCCTGATGAGAACTGTCAGATTAGCACATGAAGGGAAACTGAGATGCGTTTAAAGCAGTGTTACCTCTGGGTACAAGGACGAGACAGGTGTCCTATCCCTTTATAACGTCCCTGCAGCCAGGGCTGGAGTGCCGTGAAGGAGCCTTGCCACTCAGTGACGTACTTCGAAAACCCGTATCTGCTCCATGCCTCTCACGCAGTAGCTGAGGAAGCCGGTGCTGGGGGACCGTAGGTGCCCCTCTCTGGTCCAAGGCCCTGGTCACTTTGTGACCCAAGGAGTTTTGCCGAAAAGCATTCTTTTCAGCCCCTCTACAGTTGGTCACTGTTTTGAGCTCCTCTTTTGGGTGTAAAATGGGAGCACTCAGGATCACAATTTGATTCAAATGGGCCTTAA